AAGAGCACGAAGACCAGAGTGGCCAGGAATTCCGCCAGGACGGCCCTGCTGAAGGCGATGGAGCGCAGTTCCCACATCATTGTGGCTCCCGGCGGTGATCCTGCCCACAGTGCCCTCGGTGCCCACCTCCTGCCGTGTCCCTGAGGGCGACCTGGGCCAACATTTATATACCTGGAGGAGGGGGGGCTGCAGGATCAGCTGCTGAAGGGGATGGGATCACAGTCCCGGGAAATCTGATGCTTTTTTTCCTGCTGTGTTCCAGCTGAGGGAACATCAGATCCTGCCTCTTCTATTAGAGCTGGGGAATGCAGAGCTTGCCACCCTGGGGAGGTCATAGATCAGCCTCCAGCAGTGCTGGGAAGGCTGCTCCCCTTCTCCTGGACTCCTTACCTGGGAAGGACTGGTCCATTCCCCTGGGCTCCCTTACCCTGGGAAGGACTGCTCCCCTTCCCCTGGGCTTCGTTACCTGGGAAGGACTGCTCCCCTTCTCCTGCTCCCCTTCTCCTGCTGCCCTGCTTCTGCTCCCCTGCTCCTGCTCCCCTGCTCCTGCTCCCCTTCTCCTGGCCTCCCTTACCTGGGATCCATCCCAGAGCTGTTCCTGCAGCTGGACCCTGGGAGCATGGAGAGGGCAGGAAGAAATGGGGAGTCTGTGGAGATGGAGCTGAGGTTGGGTTGTGTTGAAAATCAGGCTGGGCTGTGATTTACCAACCAGAAAATCCAGGAGCATGGAGGGATTCCTGGGGGTGTCCTGTGCAGGGCCAGGAGTTGGAGTCAATGGTCCTTGAGGGTCTCTTCCAGCCAAGGATGTTCCATGACTCCATGAAAAGTGAGGCACAAAAGGGATTCACTACAGCTCAGCTCCTCACAGCACCAGAATTTTGCTGCCTGGGCACAAATTTCCTACCCAGAAAATTGGGAACCAATCCCAAAGCAAAGACTGTCAAAAATTCCCATGTGAAAATGTGACCCCAGAGCTGGAGCACCAGCTGTGCCGTAATTATGTCAATTTTGGCCAACTCTGCTCTTCAGAAACCTCCTTTTCTTGGTGTCAATCCCAGAGTGAGAATTTCTTCTCTGGGATTTGGTTCTTCCCATCTGCTCCTTGCCCAGAAAGTTTCTTTTCCCTTTTCTCTATTTCCCATTCCTGAGGGATGTCTGCAAAATCTTTTCCTCACCTTGTCACTGGGGTTGGTGGCTTTACTGGAAATTGAGGAGCTGGTTTTTCCTCTCCAGAGCCAACTCTGAGGTGGGATCATTTAATCCCAGAGGGATGCAGAGCAGCAGGACCAACTGTCCATGTTTGGGCTCTAACAAAGGCTCTTGCTCTACCATAAACTGAGTACTTTCCCTTCCAGAGGAGCTGTGCAAGTGCCATGGGACTGATGCTCCATGTTGGTGGGATTATATCATGGGATGAGGGGTATCCCAGGCTGGAAGGGACCCACAGGGGTCTGTGAGGGTTCTTTCCTCCAAGACAGGTGGAGAACAGAGCTTCAGGTGGAGCAGAGGATGGATGTAGGTTCCTTCCAATGGAACTGTTCTTCTCATCTTTCCTCTTCTTGTTTTCCTTCCTTCCTCCTCCTCTTTCCCCTTCCCCTTTTCTTTCTCCTTCTCCCTTATTTTTTCCCTTCCCCCTCCTTTTCCCCCTTCCTCCATCCCCTTTTCCCTTCTCTTTCCCCCTCCCCTCTCCTCTCCCTCTCCCTTTTTTTCCCTCTAAAAAATGTTTTTTTGGGAACATCACTTTTAACAAAGTGAGGGACTGCGGGAAAAACAAGTCCAGCCCATGGCTGAGTCTGAACAAGGTGGGACTGTGCTCCAATAAAACCTTTTCCTCTGAAAATCCTCCCCTGGGACTGTGTCCCTCCCCAGCATCTCTCCAGCCAGAGCTTTTCCATCAGTGGAGTCAGTCTCGTAAAACAGGTTTGGAGGCTAAAGGGATTTGGGTGCTGCTGAGCCTCGGGATCATGGTCCCAGCCAGGCTCGTGCTCCACATGCCTGGCACAGGGCTCAGCCCTACTCAGGGCAGGAGTTACTCAGGGCTGCAATTATTGCAGGGAGGATGGAGAGCAAATCCAGGTAATTACTGGAGCTCATACCCTGCCTGATGAGTGGTTACTCGTGGGGAGCGTGGGGATGTATCAGTGATCAGGACTAATTAAAAGGAAGGAGAAGTCAGCAGGATTAGTTCTGAGCCACTTAGAAGTCCAACCCCATGGTCCTGACTTTTGTCTGGAGATGCAAAACTCATTGCATCTCATTTGTACTGAGCTTAGAGATGCTGGTGCTGAAATTGGAGATGTTTGTTTTGAGCTTGGAGCAGTCTGTGCCATGGCTGGGGGGTTCCTGTGCTGCTGGACTGTGGGGAAAGGGTCAGAGCTGCATTTTGACACTGGCTGTCGTGGTGTCCATGGCATTTGCTGGGAGATGTTGATTTCCAGCAAGAACAGCCCATCCCAGCTTTGCCCAGAGACCCACAGCACTGTAATTCCACTGGTTTAACAGAGGAATCCATCCATGGCACAAAACCAGACCCTGGTGACTCCAGACACTGAGTCAGTGGCAGAGCCAAGGTTTCCTGGCACTGCCATGGTTGGGCACTGCCCTGGAAAAATGGGAGATGCCACAAGCTGAAGGGTTGGGAATGGGCTGTTGAATCTGTGCCTGTGTCTAGAAGGGGGTCCTGGAGCTGCTGGAGATGATGGAAATGTGCCTTTCCACCTCACCCCAGGTGTGCTGCTGCTTTGGGAGCAGCCAGCAGCATTCCAGCCCTGCAGGAAATCCAACGAGTTTGGGAAAGTGCATGATTTTACCTGTCAACCCCAGCCCTTGGAATGTGACGGTGTCATCAGCCCTCCCTGGGACCAAGTGCAAATTTAATGATCTCAAGGAGCAGGTTGGAATCTGCAGGAAGTTGGAACCCTGTGGGTGCCTCATGCTGGTGCCCTGTGTTGGAGCCCCATGTTGATGTCTCATGTTTGGAGCCCCATGTTTGGAACACCATGTTGGTGCCCTGTGCTGGTGCCTCATGTTTGAGCCCTGTGTTGGTGCCTCATCTTCATGTCCTGTGTTTGGAACCCCATTTTGGTGCCCTGTGTTGGAACCCCATGTTTGGAATCCCGTATTTGTGTCCCTTATTTGTGCCCAAGTTTGGAACCCTGTGTTGGTGCTCACATGGGTAGTCCAGGTTTAAGCCCTGCGTTGGAGCCCCTTGTTTGGAACACCCTGCTCATGCCCTGTGCTGGTGCCTCATGTTTGAGCCCTGTGTTGATGGCTCATCTTCATGTCCTGTGTTTGGAATCCTGTATTTGTGCCCCATGTTGGTGCCCATGTTTGGAACCCTGCATTGGTGCCCTGTGTTGGTGCCAATGTTTGGAACCCCATTTTGGTGCCCTGTGTTGGTGCCCATGTTTGGAACCCTGCATTGGTGCTCATGTGGGTGCTGCAGGTTTGAGGCCTGTGTTGGAGCCCTGTGTTTGGAGCCCCGTGTTAGTGCCCGTGTTCCAGCCCATGGATTCCCTGTGTTCATGTCCCATGTTGGAACTCCATGCCAGAACCTCATTGCTGGTGCCCTGTGTGGATTCTCTGAGCTGGTGCCTCATGGTGGTGCTCGTGTTGGTGCCTGTGTTGGAACCCAGTGTTTGGAGCCCCTTGCTGGTGTCCAGTGTTTGCAGCCTTGTGTTGGTGCCCATGTTTGGAACTCCATCTTTGTGACAGTGTGTTGGTACCTTGTGTTTGAACCCCATCTTGGTGCCTGTGTTGGAGCCTCATGTTGGTGTCTCACGTTTGGAACCCTGTGTTTGGAACCCTGTGTGGGTTCCCTGTATTTGGAACCCCATCTTGGTGCCCTGTGTGGGAACCCCATGATTGGAACTCCGTGTTGGTGTCCCATGTTGCAGTGCTGTGTTTGGAACCTGGTGTTTGGAGCCCTGTATTGGTGCCCTGTGTGAGTTCCCTGTGTTTGGAATCTCGTGTTGGTGCCCATGTTTGGAACCCCATGTTTGGAGCCCTGTGTAAGTTCTCTGTGTTTGGAACCCCATATTGGTGTCTGTGTTTGGAGCCCTGTGTGGGTTCCCTGTGTTTGTAATCTGGTGGTGTCCATGTTTGAACTCTGTGTTAGTGTCTGTGTTCAGAACTCCCTGTTTGAGCCCTGTGCTGGTCTCTGTGTTTGGAACCCCCTGTTTGGAACCCCATTTTTAGAACCCTGTGTTTGGAACCCCCTGTTTGAGCTCCACGTTGGTGTTTGTGTTTGGAACCCCATGTTTGGAACCCCCTGTCTGAGCCCTGTTTTGGTGTTTGTGTTTGGAACACCTGTTTGAGTCCCATATTGGTGTCTGTGTTTGGTACCCTCTGTTTGGAACACCTGTTTGAGCCCCATGCTGGTGTCTGTGTTTGGAACCTCATGTTTAGAACCTGTGTTTGAAACCCCATGTTTGAACCCTGTGCTGGTGTTTGTGTTTGGAACCCCCTGTTTGGAACCTCGTGTTTGGAACCCTGTGTTTGGAACCCCCTGTTTGAGCCCCGTGCTGGTGTTTGTGTTTGAAACCCCCTGTTTGGAACCTCATGTTTGGAACCCCATGTTGGTGTCTGTATTTGGAACCCCCTGTTTGGAACCCCCTGTTTGGAACCTCGTGTTTGGAACTCCATGTTTGAGCCCCATGTTGGTGTCTGTATTTGGAACCCCGTGTTGGAACCCCCTGTTTGGAACCCCCTGTTTGAGCCCCATGTTTGAGCCCCCTGTTTGAGCCCCATGCTGGTGTTTTTGTTTGGAACCCCCTATTTGGAATCCCCTGTTTGGAACCCCATGTTTGAGCCCTGTGTTGGTTCCTGTGTTGATGTCCTGTGGGTTTTCTGTGTTTGGAATCCCCTGTTTGGAACCCCATGTTTGGAACCCTCAGTTTGAGCCCCGTATTTGAGCCCCATGCTGGTGCAGCAGGAAAGGCGCTGCTGCCGCGTTTCGAAGAACGTTTTGAAGGTGCCGTATTTTGAAGAACGTTTTGCAAGGCAGGGAATGGTTCTTGCACAACCAGGAGCTCCTCCAGTGCTTTAGATGGCCCTGATATCTCTGCTCCCCTGGCTTCCA